TATACACGCATATGTATGTATATGCGCATGTGTGTATGTGTGTGGACGGAGGTATATCTCTTGGAATGCTCGCCACAAGGGCGTGTGCGTGTGTAGCGACGATACCGCTCTATTTCGATCAGTAACCTTGTGTACGTGGTAAGGAGACTAGCTAGCGAAGTGGCTAGCTGCCTGAAGACTGGCTGACTGACTGACTAGCTAGCTGTCTAGCTGTTACTGCTGTTGCTGCTGCATGCACTCCACACAAACCACATGAAAATCAATCCATCGCTGTCCGGGCCGCGTTCGTTCGTCTCGTTCGACGTCTCTCCGCCGTTCCTACGACTATTTCCTGCCCTTGGTTTGAACTCTAGTCATCAAATAGAGCGCGACGGCTCGGCGGCGGCGAACACTTTTTGCAGACCTCCAGTCGACGTACGCGGAACCCTTCACGAGAAAAGAGCGAGAATGAGAGAACGGGAGAGCGCTCACGCTCTTTCTCTCGCGTCTGCGCGGAAGTGCTCCTCCGGAGGATCGGAAGGGACTTTGCCGACAAGGGCAAAGAAGCATATCTGAGATACCGTAGCTCTGTAACCTCTTGGAACCTCTTTACACTTTTCACAGCACCTGTACAGGCAGTTCAATTTGTTACGTTCGCATCGGATATCAATTAGTGCCGCTTGTGTGGGGATCCGTAGCCGACTACTGTAATCCGCTGTCGAAAAACTGACACTCTGAAACTACAGGCCGTTCTGTTCGAATGTCGAAACGATGCGAAAAAAGGAAAATTCTAGTTCCAGCACCATTTTATGGTGAATTAGTCAAAGTGCAAGAGTTTTGACCTCTTTGGTACGTACATTATCCACAAACCGTAATACCGTTTGATATTATCGCAACCAATAACGGTGACAAAACTGGTAACACACTCAGTTTCTGTATGTTGAACTATAGGAGGAGTCTGAACCTCTTCGTCAAATAGTCTGCCGCCGTCTGTCTTTGCAGCACAAGTTACAGTACAGACGTCAGATCATTGCAGAGGTTAGACAGGGATAGAACTTGTAGTAGACCATTCCCTGGAAACCAGCCTTCGAAACCAAGATCGTGACGGAATCGGGAATGATCCGCTCATTCTTGAGCTTTCTGTCTCTCGAGACGCAGCAGCAAGAGAATGGAATGACTATTTGGTCGTCTCCTGACGAATCTTATGAAAATCAAGACCCCAAACAGGTAAAAGGCTAGATGGTCCTAGGCGAGAACTCGTACGGAACTTGATCTTGGGCCATGCCTGCAAGATTGGAGTCATTCCTCTGCCAAAAACCCTAGAAAATTGTCGGTCCACTCGAGGAAGTCCTATCTGGAGGGGACTTTACTACGTTGGGACGGAGGTAGTTAGCCACATAGTGATGTAACAAGGCAGGCCTACCTACAGCTTTATTCGGACCGGTCCTGTTATATAGGGAGAAGCTCAGAGAGGATCAGAAGATAGTCGTTCACCACGAGACCGAAGCCACATGACCACCACTCCTTCTAACATCGACAAACTGCTTCAGTTGTTCAAGAGGAGCCGGAGAAGCGGTACCGTCCTTCAAGGTCTCTCACATCCGTGCACGAATTCTATTTCGGAATGGGGCTTGGCCACTAAGCGACCAGGAAACTATGAAACCGAACCCCCCTCGGCAAGATAACAAAAATGGACTCGAGTGGATGAGTAAACCAAAGTAACGTCGAATGAGTCTACGAGTATACCGCCCACTTACGGGAGAAACAACAGAACGGGGTACGACATTCCGTTAGCTACGAACACGTCATCGAACCTTATCGATCAGAGCCGATGATTCGTAGGAAAGTGATTCACCCGACAGCGTTACTACGGCGACTACGTCGTTCTGAAGATGGCTATCCATGAGGTTGTATTGTGAAACCTGGAAAATGAAACCATTCCAGCCGGGGGGAACTTCAAAAAAGGGAATAGCCTCGGGGGTAGGCGGCTTCGTAGGTATGGACTTCGTAAATAGTTCAATTCCGTGACTCATTTCTACTCGGGTAAACGCCTTTCATCAGAATGCCTTATCTGAGAGGGATGAGCAGGCAGAAAGGTACACTTTGTCACCTGTCCCTTGAAGAATTGGGAGCTTGGGTTATTTAAAAAACCAATTGTAGGCGTGGAAAAAAATTGGAAATGTAAAATGTAGGCACATTGAGTAAGGCAAATTGATTTTTAATGCATAATTTTTACGAATTTTTAAAAATTATTTTTGGTACCGTATTTTTGATTTCTGCTGCTTTGCATCATGGTAATCAGTAACCTCTGTGTTTTCATTACGGAAAAGTGCACAAAATTAGGAGCTAAACCTGTCCTGTTACACCAGCTAGCTGTTTGGCGCCCCCCGGGTGATGTAGGTGGCACTTTTGGGAAATACGAGAGTTCTGCACCCTTAAGCACTCGACGGCTACGGTGAAGTACTTCAGCAAGCTCATGCAATGAGAAAAGTACACCGCTGAGGCAACATCAATGCGAACGAGTCGATCGACGAGGTTGTACTTTTGCTATCGTCGTTGCTCAGTCTTCCGAGAGAAACATCAAGAGAGAGAAGGAGGGAAAGAAAGATAGAGAGGGGAACGCTTAGAGTGCGAGCGCGGGACCAGTCCCACACACACACACACAGTTGGGATCGTTGGGATCGCAGCACCCACGGCGACGCCGCCGCCGTCGTCGTCGTCGTCGTCGTCGTTGCCATCCCCACACGTGACTTGAATAAATGTATATGTGCATACAAGTACATGTCCATTTTCATGCGAGCGTACAAAGCAAGCAATCATCGCCCAACGTCACTCAGGGAGCCGAGAAGACCTACTGACATGTACAAACATCAGGGAGCTAAAGGGAGGGGCGAGTGCCGCATGCGCGGTTTTCTGTAGTTTCCTACAGCTTTTCCCAAAAGCATTTGGTAGTGGGGATTGTGCCACCTACCGAGGAAAGGCACACTCTTCGACTTACAGAGAAGAGGCCACTGCTGTTGCATGAATGCTGGAAGCACCCATTTCGGCTGTAACGACCAGGTAGTTTTCTGTTGAGCTAAGAACCTTCCACCAGCGTGATGATACCGAAGCAAAGTTCCTGAGAGATCCAAAAACTATCCCAAGAAGTCAAAATTGGAGACCAGAATTTCAGCAAGCGGCTGAACCGTAGCATGCCACGTGCGCTGGGCTGACGACCACTCGTTGGATCAGGCGGAGGTGGATATCACGCGACTGGCTTCACCTCAATGTCACGTTGAATGGTAATGCATGGTGAACAAAACTTCCTGGACTACCTCATAACTGATTAACCAACAGGATACCCGCTTCCCCAATTCGGTCCGCCTTTACGAGGTTCGTGGAATCTGCAGACCTTGGAAAGGTGCTCTCTTGGAGTTGTACCTCATTAGAAGCCTTATAACTTGGCTCAGAACGCCCCGATAGCAGGAATATATCACCCACAGAGAAAGGGCGAGGAGAGTTCCATAGATGAATGAAAGGACATTCCAAGTAAGGTAGAACCTTATTAGTAGGTAAGCCCTTATTAGTACCACTTCAGATTCTCCTCTCATCCTCATTTTGATGTCTTTGGTAAGGGAGCTAGTTGGAAACAACAAAATTGATGTTCTCGACTGGCTGAACAACTCAAAGTGCAGCTATGCCTAAGTACAAATTCCTTTGATGTTTCAAAAACCTCCTCGAACGCCTTGGCAGAATCGTTAAGTTCAAACGGCAGAAGTCGATTTTGCTGTCCCAAGCGCTGTGTTAGTAATTTGTGTCGTTCAACGCGAAAGTGCACACGATCTCTCCCCGCTGATTGATTGAGCAGTGGCGAGTCCACGATGAAATTCCGTGTTTGGATCGAGCGAAAGAGTACGAAGAGGAGGGGAACGGCCTTTTTTTGGCCATTCAACATAGAAACCTCAGATATGAACATAGCGGCTCCCAGCATAGGTCACTATACACTTTGGAAGGGTAGTAGCCACGCATTCCACTCCTCTTCACAACCGTTGTAGCGTTTGGAAGCGTTCCTGGGCTCTACACTGATATAACCGGCCAACCATGTGCTCTTAGGCACCAGTGTCTCGGGCGACTCCGAAGAGATGGAAGGCTTGGTTAGTCTGGGCAGGACAGGAAACGAGACCTGCTAGTAGGGCCACCTGTGTGGTACCAGCACCACATAGCTGCCACCATCACAGGTGGGACAGCTCAGCTCCTTAACCGTACCTGCTGCTAAGATCCAGTAAAGCTTTTCAAAGAAATTTTGCCCTGGAAAAGACATCACCTATTTCACCTTTCAAGCAAGCTAAACCACTACAGTAGTTCTCTGAGCGTCGCCTAAGACGGCGACGTCGGCGGCGAAGCCCTCACTAATAGAGTCACAGCGCTCGGTATAGGCAAAAAGTGCATTTTTTTTCAAAAAGAGGGGAAGGCCTGCAAGAGCCATCGACAAGTCGATCGCGGTTTTCCCTCTAACACCCTCCAATACTCTCTACGTTTCGTTTGCCCAAACAGGGTATGTAGAGGACGAATAAGCTAGAGAAAAACTCATCGACTTCGATTCCCATGGAAGTGGGGGCTCCTTGGTTACAGCTTTTTCCCCCCGTTTTTCAGTCAGAACGATACGAACAGCTTGCAGATTCTCTTCAAACAAAATGTTTCAAGCAACATTCCCGAAAGACACCACTTGAGGACTATACTGGTCCAAGTCAGTTGAGGAGAGGACGTCTATTTTATGTAGGGAGATGGCATCCGGTGCAACATGATCCCCACTAAAAGCGGTTTTCCTGGATACCTCTTTGAAAAAGGTTGTCCTAGTAGATTGATACACACAGGATCTTGACAGGGCCGTCAACAGACAGGGCTGCCATGGCCTTCTCGAAGCCAAACAAGACGCTCGGGGTGGGCACAGCAGCTGAGCCTTCCATTTTTCTGACTGTGTACCGGCTGGGTACACCTCTGAGAGAAGTCACCAGTATGCCCTAGTAGTACTCACAAGACGACTAGAGTACATCGGTGAGCTTGAAGATTTCAAGAAACCGAAGGCCCTCAGCGAGGCGATATCTTGTATCGCAATCCAGATTAGGGTCCTTTGACTCCGCCAATAGGGTCACAGTCGGATGTAGGAGCTTCAGAATATGGGCGTGCCGTCCAGTGCTACTGGGACAAGTTCATTAGGTATTGGCTAAGAGAGAAGCCAGGCCATATCATGGAAGGAATAAGGCTTATTCTCCCAGGAGGATGAAAGGATCACTATGGTTGAGACCCTTGGGTGCTTCTCTGAAGGCTGCTTGTACTTACCTTTTTCCATAACCAGTTCTTTTCTTTGAAGTGAGGCAGGGACTAGGACTTGCTGCTGTTTTTGATTGTGAGTATGAATAGGTGGATGACGAGTTCCTGGGAGCAAGTAATCTATTTTCCGATTAAGGGAAAAGAGACATCAATCCTGCTTGAAAGTACTTTCCTTGAATATACAAGAATCCTCTTTTACGCCCATGTACGGATGAGATGCTCTCTGAACTCGGCCAAGACCGCTCTATTTACAAAAGCGGACGTTCAATGAGAACGAGGAAGGCAAGGTCTCCAACGATCGAAGAACAAGGTGGAAAATATCGTTTTCCTCGCGAAGGAGGAAGTGAAAGCCAACTAGGCAGTACCAGGATCGATCACTCGGGTTCTAGATCCACTCGCTGAAAAGGAATCTCCAACGAATAGGCCCTAATAGGCTCCATATCAGAAAAACGTGAGATTTCTTAGGCCAGGTAACGAACATGCTTGGAGTAGCAGTAGCGAGGGTAGCAACGAAAAAAAGCGAAAGGAAGACCCAAAAAAATAGGTGAATTTGCTTTTATGGCCAGTCAAGGGTATGCTAATTCCTTTTCTTTGTCTTTTTCTTTTGTGTACTCCAATTTTTTGCCCCGAGCTTCTTAAAAGTACGCCTCATGACTTCTTTGGGGGAAAGTTTGGAACCGAATAGAAGATTTAGTCATGTACTTTCTTATCTTGACATTTGCCATGATAATAAAATACACAAAGAAACATTCCATCGTTTTTGATCGAGTACAGAACCCTTCTGAAGGGGCGGCATGGTCTAAGAGGTCACATAGGCACACTGCAACGGCTGATATTTTCAAAAGAAAACTGGCGGAGGGGCTCAATCAGCCCGCTCTGATTCTAAAGAAGGGCCCACCTCCTTTGTGTATTATGTTAATCTACGAGGAATAGCCAGATGAGAATACCGGTTGTGACGCCAACAAGGGTTTAACATTTGTAACGGAGTAAACAAGTCCAATTTTCTGAAGGAACACTGTTTTTGAGGGATGTACACAATAAGGAGATTAACTTTTCCTTGGACAGTCGGCCTCATATGTAACTAGATGAAAACAAGTGAAGAACCTGACATCATCTTCCTATTTTGCACCCAAGGGCTCAACGATCGAAGCCGTAGCATAAGTGGGAACATAGAGCTGGAACTAAGATTGGTAAGCTTCGTTTTGTTTGGGTATGGTACCTGAAGAGGAGTAGGTAGCCCATTGCCAAGTGGGGATTTTGACACAGGTATTACCTTCGGGACGAATTCGGGATAGCCGCCCAGAACAATCACGCTCACATACCCCCAGCATCGTCTAATTGGTTTCAGACTTTTCTGGGTGGAATAAAGATGATAATCTAGCGGTCGGCGATCCCTGCGTGTGTACATCCCATGAGGGCACCAGGAAAGGCTTGTTCCAAACCTTAGAGGTACCAACAAGCTTGACCAAGAGATACAGGATGGCATAGTCCTTGGTCGTCCCTGTCCCACGAAGTAAGGAATGGCATATTCGTAGCCAGGGTCTCGCGGGTTAATGCTACTTAATGGACAAACCGACACCAATTCCTCAACATGACATACTGGGTGGTAGCATCTTCCATAGCCTCTTTTTCGTTTACACGAATGTAATGAGAGATAATTACAGAAGACCGATGACATGCAAGGTTTCTATGCATTCTCAATGAGGAAAAGTTAGTTGGGTGGTCCTCCAACAAATGGAATTGAGTAAGGGCACGAGCATGAGCCTGTACATTCACTAGCAGCAGCACATACCAACCAACGCCATCAAACAGTTCTTCTTCATTCTTACAGTCTGCTGAGGGCCACCATTTGGAAGCAAATCCCTCACAGTATAGTTCCAAACACGTCTTCGAAATGTATTTGTCAAAATCGACTTTCGACTGCGGACCTTGACCATTCCCATTTTTAATGGCCATAGGGTAGTGACATGCTCCAGGGCAGAACTCCAACGACTTCACGCCAATCTCAAACCATACCTTCCATCATATCGAGTCTCAGCCATTCGTACCCAGAAGCCGCCTGGTATCATAAAAACCTTGGCCTTCACTGTGACCAGTTCACTGGATCCTAACACAAGTCTATGCCTGAAAATACCAGGGAATTCCCATATGAAATACCAGCGCGTGGCGCAACCCATAGCGAGCCGATTGATCAACGCCGGGAGTAACACAGGAGTCTACGGAGTGAGCCAGTCAGTTGGTTCCTGTATTCGTTTGCATCGAATTACATTTCCTATATCTGAAGACGACAATTGTTCTGAACTATAAGCTCAATAAAGGGTCCATGGTGGCAAACCTGTAAGGAACAGCAGTATAGGACACACCAAAAGATAGCCTGAACCACAGGATCAACATCTAGGATTAGTCACCAAACAGCTCGTGGTCTGAGTTGGCGGAAATGGCAGCACCCGGTGGGTCTAGGGAACAAGTGTGGGTGATACTGAATGGCGGCCTACTACAGTTTCGTTCAGAGGATCAGGTCTTACAATTAGCCCTATACATACTCACCTAGGCCAACCAAGCCATACTTTTCTCCAGAGTGGATCAAGTTACACCAGATTGCCCAGGAGTGAAAGCACTGACTTAGACAACGCATGGACCTGCGAGTCATATAGGCAAGATACCCATTCGAGCTCCTCTGTGATTCTGAACGGATGAAGAATACTCAGAAGCATTCCCGAATAGGACCTGACCAACGTCAGGAGGCCGAACCCGGCCTAACAAAGCTGTGCTCCGGAAGCTTCCCTCGTAGGGCTTCAATTTTTTCACAGCTGCTGTTCGCTATGTGATCGTATTCAAAGTTTACCGACCCACAGACAGCAGCCCCGTTCGTGCAAACAGATCCTTTTTGAACGACGAAAACATTGCCCGACTATATGCAAAAAAACAGCTATTCCCTGATGATCGGGAACTGGTATGTTCTAGGCACTTTGGAAATGTTCAGATAACAAAAAATGGTCACAGATGCCTTAGTTGTTGATGTCTAGGCCCATTTTCGTTCTTTAGGACAACACGGAACGTTGCTCTCATGGAATGTCCTTTACCCTGGGGACATTCTAAGTAGCGATTCCGAGAAGCTGCCAAGTTCAGCTGAGAAGCAGTCGAGAGCTTTTTCGATTCTAGGCTCGGAATGAGCATATTGAAGAAGCGCATGTTTTTTCGACTTCTGAAACGAGATTTCATCGAAATGTCAATCCCTTAGTGACCGGGTACAAATGACCAGTCGTTTTTGAGTTTTTGAAAAAGAGTTTTGACGGCTGAACTATGGGCATATGAAGCCCTTGGAAGGGGCTCAGAAGGCGTGGAAGGAGGGACTATACCGAAAGAAACTTGCCTCCTCGTCCGGAGAGGGTCATTCAATTTCAGCCAGGACCCTCCTTTTTTCTTTTCTCTGCGTGTGCCTTCAGGAATGGGAAGATGTGTTTTGCGCTATTCTGAGGGATTTACGATCTGGGGCTCGTCTGTAGAACATGGGACCACTTCTTGAAAGGAATGACCGTTTTCCTGAGCCTCCATCAACTAGCAGTGCCTACTACTGAAATTCCGATCCATCACACCTGTTCAGCTTTGAGTACGACTGGCGAAAGTTCGGCAGATAAGGGAAGTGGGCAGCCAAATTAAAGGTAACGTAGTGAACAGCAGGTAACGGTCAAAATAACGGTAAGCGTATCTAGTACAACATCGGAGAAAAAGAGGCAATGGGTAGCTTAACAGGAAGTAGGGAACAACGTGTAAACGGTATAAATTGTGCCGTTCCACATTCAGTAAGAAGTCCAACAGTGTACTTACAACCCAACATTTGACTTACTCCAGGTATATTTTAGTCACAAGAAAGTATAAATTCAAAAGTGCAATCGCGAGCGATGATATGTAATGCCAATTTATAGAGGAGCTATTTATGCTCCATCAAAGAGAAGGCACGATTTGTACCTGGTCCCTTGAGCGAGGACTATCCACTGAGCTACATTGGCTGATGACAGGGACGAATGAAGACGTTATTGGCGCCTGCTCTAGGAAATCGATGATTAAGGACGATAGGTGATATAGGAGATGCCTCCAAAATATGACATCCGGAAAACGGAAATCGGAAATGAAAAGAAGAATTGCCTACGTAATTTGACTTTCAACCGGGATGTCGCTTGATCAATGATAAACTTACTCTGGGACGAACATCAGAGCCCCGATTTTTGTTCCATAATCCTCTTTCATGTCAGCTCCTCCTGTTAACGATATTACTACTCCGATTATGAGAAGATTGTCTGATTGCTTAGGAGATTACTTACTTAAATACTTACTTGAAAACCTGATTTGCTGGAATGTACATAGTGCAAAGCTACAGATGTGGCAGTCAGCCGAGGATCTATGCGTGACATGATCCTCATTAGTCTACGTGCTTTACTTTTAGCTTTACTAGAAGCAACGAAAGAAGTGTGAATAGAAAGAAAGTTATTTGGAAAAACAGAGAAAAAACGAATAGATGGAAGCATTGCATGGAAGAGGCAGTAGTCGACGCAGCATCGGCTATGAACTGATCTTTTATATCGGGATTATGATCAAAGAGTAGCTTACCTTCTTCGGTGAGTTCACCGCTCTCAGCACGACGTTGAGCGTTCAGAGCGGCTGCTAACTCAAGTTTCTCCTTGTTACGCTTGTTGAACGACTTCAGGCGTTTATAGTTGAGTTTCTCGCACTGAAATGGATCACGTGAAGCTTGATATGAACTTTTGCCCGCAACGAATGGTAACCATTGACCCAAAGGAACCTGAGATAATACAAACTTGTGCGATTTCCTTCACTTTTTTATTGTAATTTTCAACGATGAATGCTCGAAATTCTTTGCGAAAATTCGAAACTCTAGACCAATTTTTCATGTCAACCAGAGAATTGGTGCAGGAATTATGGCCGAAGCAATCTTGAATAATTTCTGAAGCGGCCCTTCTGTATTTATATGGTGATAACTTTCCAGCCCATACATTCTTACTGGCCTAGATGGTAAAGGACCGGATACACACCATCAGTACAAGGTAAAGGATAAAATAGCATGAAGTCTTTGGGTGTTAATAAGTCCAGTCCAAGGGATACGCCCACGCATTCGACTTACTCCCAGAATTGTATGGCGTAATGAATGGGTATGTGGCTCACACAATGACTTGCAGAGGCCAGCTGAGGTACCAGTCAGTGCTTGTATCCTTCCAAACAGACCTGGTATCAATTAACTGACTGGGGGGGGGGGGGGGGAGGGACGGAAGGCTTGGTTGACCAGGGCGCATATCGATCCGAGATTCAATCAGTGACCATGCGTGTGTATAGTGCGCCACTCGCCACTACACCACCCCAACAAATTGTAACCATTGACTGAAGCTACAAACCCCTATCAACGTAGGGTACGGCAATCAAATCCTGGATCGATACTCGCCCAGGCAACCCCAAGTTTTCTTACCCCCGGTATGTCCTAGGTACGATACATTATGATCTTAGCCCTACCTTACTGGAATATTCAAGATACTAATCCGTGCTTCCCATAAGTTATGGTCACGAAGCATTGAAAGGATAAAAGTGAAGTCGTTAATTTCATCAGCACAGAGTGGGAACCTAGACTTATCCAGGCCAATTGAGTCCTCCGCTTTTCTTTCTCCCCCTGCTGGGAGGTCAACTAATCCTGTTCGGAACGATGTTCGAACGGTTTGCGCTTATGGGTAGAAGTTGGATGCATGGCGCACTTGAAGAAAAATCAACACTATCTCTCTATATGTATATACTTCATCGTNTATAATTCAAGATGATAAAAACCTCGCCGAATAGGTGTGGGTAAGTACACCCATACCCACTAGTGCTCGTCTTTGCCACCCAACAATATATATCACCACATGGGCTTCGCTTATGATTTCTCGGAAACATGGTTGGCCTATACATCGTAGCAAAAGTGCATCAGTGAAAGCATATAGCGGGGAGCGCGGTGGTCGCCGTCGTCAACGTCTTCGACGTCGTCGTCGCCGCCACCTCCGCCGCCGCCGAACATTCGAAGAACACACGAGGCTCGAAGAAAACGAAACGAATAGTCAGACAGAAAGCGAGAGAGCACGTTCGATGATGGAGGAGCAGCGGAGCCAAAAAAAAGACCAGAGAAGCGGAACGAACACCGCCGCGTTTGCACTTGGATGCGAATGTCGTCGCTAGACGATGACGAAGTACTGGCGGTAGCGAGAGAACAGGCAACGACCGATCGAAAATCGCTGCACTTTGGAATCGGGGCCGACGACGCCGCCGCCTGTTCCCGACGACGGCAGAAAAAGCGACGATCTCGACGACCGGAATGCAACAGACATTTTTGAAGCCCGTCAGTCAAGGGACACTAAAGTTCAACAAGACTATGGACGCAAGAAAGGAATCCCGTGGATAATCCCATTTCGAGAATGAAAGACTCAAAAGAGAAAGTTTCTAGCCCCAGTGTGGCTGATTCCGAGTAGGAACGGCTCGCTGTTGTTGTCATGGAGCTTTCGGCGGAAGGCTTCAAAAAATTGTTTATCGAGATCAAGAGGGACAGAACTGGAATAGCTTGAGGAACTGAGCTGAGCGCAATAGTCCCACCTCTCCAGGGACCATTTTCACCATCCCAAACTTTTGTTTGGGTGTAGTGACGCGTACCTATGCTCTTCTAACCTGTACACAGTACTTACAACATACCAACTCTGGTAGAGAGGTATAATAACTCTAGGTATTTAACAATCATAAGCAATTTTGGAGTAGAAATACCCTTGACGACGGTAGATGGTCGATGGCTAAGTGGTTTCTAACAGATACGCTTCTCTATGAAACCCATTAGCAAGGATGGCGAAGTGGCGAGAGGCGCCGCAACATCATTACGCTCTTCATGAGATCTGACGCCCACCCAGAGTAAATCCCTGTAGCAGGACTGTTCGTTCCCCTTTGTAAGGCTCAATGTGTAGCCGAACGAGTACGGAAACTACAAAAACAAGGCATGAGTCAAGGAACTCAGTGATTTGGACTTAGACTATTTATTCATATTTCACGGCAAGAAGATTATTCTTTCTCGGAACCTTTCACAGTTGGAAGCCTTAATTATGCATAGCACGAACCAGGGGCAACCCTTCAATCCATTATCTTGCTGAAGAGTCAGTGATGACTCAATTTTCGCAAAAAAACTTTCGGATTTGCACAAAATTCTCGATCGGAAGTGCAGCTGAGCCAGGTGTCATTATGAGAGCTTGAGGCATTTCGAAGCGGAGTATGCTGTTACGATACTTTTGCATTGAGAGAAAAACCTCATTTCGAATAGCCTAGTGAAGGAAAAAAACAATTTAAATGTTTCTAAAGATCTTACAGCTACAAAATGACGCTTTTTTCTTCATGTAAATTGGTAATTAATGCCTGTTCAAATCATATCTAATCAGCTGATGAATTGATGAAAGGCACAGTTTATTTCATGATAAAAATTGTTTCTGAGACTTCCCTCCCTCACTCCCCTCCCCCCCCCCCCTGCTTGGGATGAGCGTATGATCCCCAAGGGTGGCGCTGGGTTATTGCCTGGTCGAAAAGCTACCTCAAAAATGTATTATATGGGCTCCAAATCACCTGAGTTAACCACCATTTCAGCGGTTGTTAGGTTTTCTTTGGTACTGTGAATGGCATGACATAGCCTCGGTGATCTGGTGACATCAATAACTACCACTTAAGACACAGCTCATGTTAAAATGGCTTTGAGGTCTCTCTCCTAGGTGACCACCAAAGGGACGCTGTCGTGTCGAAAAACGGACGAGGAGACAGGGCGTAATGAGGGCCCCAACAAACACTTCCAAAAGGGACGAGTTTTCATGGCATTGTAGAAGATGTAGAGGTTGTAGCGTTCGCACAGGAACTCACACCTTGCACGCAGGCAGCTTACTGCAGCCAGCTTTATCCAATGTCACATTCTCGTCCAACTCCCAATATTACTTCTTTTTTCAAGCCTCATATTTCTTTGAATACGCCGATTGCAGCGTTTTCTATGCCATTTTTGCACTATTCAAGACTATCAAACCACTAGTCGTCTACCTGATCAACACTGACACTGATCAAAGATGCGCCCCGCATTCGATCTCCATTCAGAATTGTACAAAGTGGCATCTGAATGCATATGTAGCCAACCCATGACCTAGGGTGGCCAGCCGATGAAATATGTCAGTGCTTCATACGAGCATGGAAACAATTAATCGGCCCTGATGGATGGAAGGTTAAGTTGACCTGACAAGCATCGAGCAGTGGTTCGATACCCGGACTATACGTGTGTGGTAGTGCGCCACTTGCCAACACCCCACCTCGCCCAAGTACCTTTAAAGCAAGACTAGCAAAAAGTCAAGACTTCGTACAGTATGATAAATAACATATATTTATAAGAATCTGAATTGCCAAAAATCAAATTTCAGAGAAAAAGGTTGATTTCTGCCAAAATCAAAACAAAGTGCTGGCTTGAACTGATTCGAAGTAATCTAGTAAGTGGCTGGAGCAGAGCCTATTTAAGGAAACCTTATTTGATGTGTTCGAGTGAAAGTTTGTGTAGAAAGGAATTATAAAGAATGACGGATGTGCTCGTATAGACAAACAGCTTTCGACTGCGTCAAACCCGCGCCTTTTTCAGGAATAAAAGAAGCTTAGATGATTCAGCATCTGAGGAATGGATAAAGGGAAAGGGTGTTCAAGAAATTCCCTCAGGAAGGCGTGCGAATTTTGAATTTGGATCGGATTGTAGAGATATCTGAGCACATACGAACACAAACACAATCTCGTCTGCTTCTAAGTACAAAATATCTGAATCAGGCTATCCTCAAGGCAGATGTTCTGTACCCAATGAGAAGCCTTACCCTCAGGTCAAAGGTTTTACCCTTTTACCCTTCTGTCTCGCGATTTCCTTCCAGCTAGGCCCGTTCCCACTTAACTACTTCATTAAAACTGACCAGTGATTCTGAACCGTCTAGGATTTGAATTTGTGGGACTACAAAAAGCGGAATGCGGCAACTCTTGGCAACGAGCCAAATCTGAATAGGTATGTAAACAGAAAGGGCAACGCCAGGTAAAAAAATATCACGCTATAGTACTAGTAAAGCCTTTTGAATGTCGATTTGTGACTGGTTTAATGGCCTTAGGAGGACGAGCGAACGCAAAAATGTGGTCAATATTATGGCCAAAAGACTTGGCCAAGAAGGTGACTTGGTAAGCTGCTTGGCTCGATATGGCTAATGAAAGTTTACCAAACAGCCAGCTAAGCAGCTTGGCTTATCTAGTAGCTTTTCGAGCCCGTGGGAATCAAAAACCAAATCATTCAGTGGAATTGCTGAATTCTGGTCCCTTAAGCGCTTTTTGTTAATCTCGAGATCCTGTCAGACGAGTATCACCACTTTCAATCGCAAAGCAACGTCTAGCGGTCGATACCACTCATTTTGCATCTTTTCACTTTCCCTGCGAGAACGATTCAACCAGGAATTCTCAGCTTGCTCTTCCACTTCGGCAAATTTGTGAAGATGGTCTTTAGGTCCGGTTCTGGTCACCTGATATTGCATTGCCATAAGTAAGCTTTTTATGTATGTGCCCCTCTATTCCAAAATAAAGGGCTTCCTCGCCAACCTACATCAGGAGACATGGCTTTGTGATCATTTTCGGTTTGCCTGCCAAGTCACAACACATCGGCAGCAGAATCGGACCCAACGGTACATACCCGGAATTACAGCAATCGACGTAATATGGTTGAACTGCCGAACCGCTTTCACCCGAGCAGAAGCCAATCTTTATTTACCATCACTCAAAGGACGTTTGTGGTTTCTCAAGCATCTAGGCCCTTGTAATGCACCGAGATTGCGCCATGCACCTGAATATAAAA